TTATACATAATATTCTGTCGATTTCGAGAAAGATGTAGTAATTTTATTTTCATATATGAAATTTGGCACTTCCCAAGCATACTATAAATGGTTTCATTGTCTGATGATATTAAATGTTTTCACACTGAAACTGAAAGATCATCCATCGACAAGCCATTCCATTTTACTTCCTCATCTTTTCAGCCATTCCTCACTTCAAGGAACTCAGGATAAGGAAATCCTACTAGTGTGGAAAGGATTAAAATGTGAGGAGCACTGGAAGGCATCAATCAGCCTTTGTGCTGTGGCTGTGCGTACTGGGTAAGGTGGGAGAATGGGGATTTGAAGAAAAATCAGATTTACAAAATCCAGGTGTACAAAGTAGATCAATTTACATATTATTATTATACAAAGAACAAAACAGAACAAAAACAAATTACCCAGATTGCCTCTGATAGCAAAACCATTAAAGAAATTTAAAATATGATGCACTTTATGAAAAACTTCTCAGAAGCATATCTGCTGGGTAAAGTTAGGTTAATTCTCAACTATTCATTACTGGATTCCTGCTTTAGTGGATTATAAACAACCCTGAAGGCTTTGGTCAGGCCCCAGAAAAGGGTCTGCGTGAGAGTAAAATTTAATCTGTGAGTGTGCCTGAGAGTCACCCTAAGTAACTGGAGATTAGCCAGTTGAGTTTTTTCCATTAGTGTTATTTATCATCTGTGCTGCTTTTTCTCTTCATTGACTCCAAAGCCTTGAAAGTTAACTGCACATACATATATAAAAATTATTTGAAAAAGAAGAAAACTATTAGTCTAAATCCTTTAGTGTATGATTTTCTAGATAACAACCCCAAAGTCAACTGCTAATGAAATTAATAAAAGCAGTTTCTTTTTAAAAATAACACTCCTGGTACAAATTGTGTCTGAACATTGGCAAAGAGCTCTACTGTCCTTATCCCAGGGCCTGGCTAAAAGCCCATGTTGCCTTAAAGTATTCACTTATGAATAATTAGAACTTGAACTTGTGTCTAGGAGGGTGGTGTCTGTCTGTCTGTCTTGACATATACTGATATGCATATGTTCATATGCATGTAACAATACAAACATGCAATGTAACAAAAATAGAAACAAACATCTTGAATGTGCTTTTAAAAGACAAGCAAATGCTTTAAAGCCTCTTTATCTTTGAAATTTGATAGAATCAATATGTGTTACTTAACATTTCCCTTTGGCACCTCTTCAGCCCTATACTTGACTGTAGGAAAAGGAATGCCCCAGGATGTTGGTCTGTTCCTGAAATCCTCACTATGATAGTCTTTTACTTCCAGGTCTGCGGCTGTGACCTGCCCCTCTGATCATGAGCCATGACTCCCATAAACCATAAGGGCCCTTGGTCACCAAGGTCAAAATCTGTTTGGAACTTCATGTTTAGGTAGCTCCTCACCCCTACCCCTGTCAGCTCTGCTACCAGGGAGTCCTTGTGAACAGACTTGGGACATTAGAGATGGGAAATTGTCCCTTGCCAAAGTGATGCGTTGTGCCAATGACGTAGGCTCCTTGGTCAGATTTAATAGAGAAGCTTTATAGAGCTCCTATTTCATAGAAAATTTTTTTTAAACTAGAGTGTAAAGCAAACAGCAATATTTTTGCTTCTAAAGCACCTTTTTAAAATGGGGAGAACAATAGTCGAACCTCTGAAAAGTATCTTCAGTCCACTTGCAGTGTCTGTTTGCCTTCGTCTATAAGATTTGCCCTCAGAATCCTGCATGCTGGACTCCAGTTCCAGAGTTAAGAGAGCAATGGCTGGCTGATGGAGATGCTAAAAAAGGGAGCTACTTGCTGAGAGAAGAACGTGGAGAGGAACAGAACCTACCAAAATCTTTCTTCTCTGCCTTTCCTTGACTCTGATTGACCCAGTTTCTGGAGTTGCAGTAAAAGATAAGGCCAGGGTTGGCTGGAGGAAAAATTGTAAAGAAGTTAGTCTCTGTGAAGTTATCCTACCTGCCATTTTCTCTTCACTTCCTTCCCATCCTCCTTCTCTGTCCCATTCCCCAGTCCTAAGGGAAGCTGCTTCAGTAGACCACTGTCCCAGAGGAGTTTGCATTTAGAAAGATACCCTTGAAGGCCAAAACCAAAGGGAATTCAGCTGTAATTCTGGGTAGAGCAGGCATTCTGGGGGGCGAGGTTTTCCTCTTGTCCTAGGGCTCTTGGAATGTGTCTCCCCTTGAGTACAGGCCAGGAAACAGGGTCTCCACAGTATGGCTTTCTTTTAGGGTAACACACCGAGCTCTTCAGCATAAATATCCAGCTGTGAGCTGGGTCTCATGCCAGCCAGGCACTCCAGGCTATTAATCCCTGAGAGGCACCCACTGCTATGTTGGCACTCATCCCTCCCTTGACTGAGCTTCAGGAAGGAGGCCCAGTTATGGCATCAGCAATCGTCCCAGAAATCCAAAGGGCTCTTATAATACACCACAAAACTCCAGTTTGGGGGTTAGGGTGTAGGCATCTGCTAGAGAGGTGTGGCTTCAGAAACAAGAATCTGGCTTATCAGGAATGGTGGTAAGGGAATTTGGAGGCAACGCCAATGATGACTAATGATCAGGTAGAATAGATTCTTTCTCCAGGCCTCCTCTGACCTCTGTGTGTGTCTGCATGCACAAACCTGTACCAAGAGGAACGAAGGAAAGGCATTGTTTCCAAAAGCCAGTAAGAATAAAATTAGAATTCTCTTTGGAGCTTCCCACAGAACCAAGAACATATGCAAAAAGTCAGGACTCAATAAAAAAGATCAAACTATAGAAAAGGGCAAGGCATTTAAAATGCAGCAACAGAACTCAACAGACAAGCTAACAGCCCACTTCCACGTTTCCTTGAGTTTGATGATTTTCATTCTGGACCCTTAAGCCTTACTCTTGTCATCTAATAGCTCTGTTAATTCAAACTCCTTTTCTCAATTAGTTTCTAAGATTATTCAACACCAAGGTAAGAAATGGATTCTTCTTGTATTTTCCAACAAGAGTCAGTGCCAGATGTCATAATAAAATATCATGCTGATTTTTAAAAGGACTGCAAAACAGATTTAATTTAAATTCTACTACATAACTAATTCTAATTCTGCTATATGCATCCTCATTTTCTTAACATAATTGATGACTCATTACTAAAGCCCTGTTTTAAAATATATGTTTTGGTTTCTGGCAAGTAAATACCACAAAAAAAATCCTTTGCCATTTTCAGCAATCCTTTGAAGTGTGTTTTGCCCATCAAAGCTTACTTGCTCTACATGGCCCCAGATAAAATGGTCAATATTGTTTCCCCAGGTTGGTGGTGCCTCAGAAGTATTAATCCTCTTTTTACCCTCATTGTCAAGGGATCAGTTACTTTTAACCGAAGGTCTGTTGGTCTATCTTGAGAACACAGTAGAAACAGATTTAACAGTTTTCCCTCCTGAAACTAGACGTTAACTACCTAAAACATAATTAACAGCAGGATGCCAGTCAATGAGTATACTTTTTACTTCATGTCTGGGGAGTTTAGGTGCCTCCAATTTAAAAGGGACCACAGTGCTAATTTTCAAATTGACAGTCTTGATCTGACCTCTAAAAGTGGCTGTAAAATGACAAGTAGTAAATTAAGATAAATGCCAAATCCTTCTGCGAAAACAAGACTGTATCATTACTATAAAGTGGACATTGGGGTTTGAGGCCAGGACTTCACAATACGATATAAATACCAGCCTGGGCACAAGGGAGGACGTGTGCTTAGTTATTGCACACAAGATAACAGTGACTCACTTCGCTCAGCATTACGCTTGGCTGGAGATTTTAAATTCCTTTTACAAAATAAGACTATTGTACTACAGGGTAAAGATTTTATTATCCTCAATAATGGGATTGAATATGCCAAGACGTGGAAGCAGAAAATTAGATCTGCTGATCCCAGTGCCAGGACGGGGGTTATACGAAGCCACAGTGGGTCACTTTGGTGGGCTTTCCAATGTTGTAGTGGCCTGGAAACCCAGAGAGGCTTAGTGGGGAAGTGTCTGGCTCCAACCAGGATAGGTGGTAGAAGTTGTGCTAGATCAGATCCCAGGTGGTAGAATGGAGTCAGAATGTGAGCATTTACTGTACCTCTGTTATTCCAGTGTTTCTGTAATACTAACCAGGGAGGCAAAGGCACTAAGCAGTTAAGGAAAGAGGTTACCAACCTGGCTCTGTCCCACAGAGGCCACTGTCAAATAGTGCAGAGAAGCCAGTAGAGTCACTGCCAGCTTGATACATCATCTGCGAACAACCACAATTGGTCAAACAGATCCCTGAAGACAAAATGCAAGTCATAAACCTTCAACCTGAATTCTAATTTTTAATCAGTATTAGGAAGAGTTCATATGACTTTTGTCCCTTCTGTATTTTCTTTCGTCTTTCCTCTTCACTCAAACTTTTTCCTCCTTATTTTGCTTCCCTCTGTTTCTCAGATTTATTGCTTCCTGCCCTGATATTTGGGGAAGAAAGAAAAAGAGTCTGTGATTTAGTTTCTTGACAAGACTCAAATTAAATACAGTGCCTTTCTCAATAAAGCCCTCCACTTGGCCAGTTTTAAATGAGGTGGCAGGATGTTAACTCAGAACCATCTGCCCACTGCCCTTCTCTGTGCTGACCCGCAGCCAGATCTGTGGGGAAGGAAGGCAAACTTATGAGTGTCCACGCATCTTCTCTGGAGTGTTCCACCAACCAAACTGCCCCAACAATCCTAAGCCATTGATGTATATAATCCCCAAGAGGCATAGGCAGAAGTCTGTTCGGCTTTCTATAGGGAAAAGTTCATCCAGCTTTCTTAAGCCAGAAGGGAGCAGTCTGATTCGCCATGGGAGAAATCATTGGCATTTATAAACTTGTTACCACTAGGGCTGCTTATATTTCCCTTGACCCAGTCATCCCCAGTGATCAAGTTAGTTCCCCTCTTAAAAGAGATTAGTTCTTTAAACTTTTGCTCTGGTCTTTTTTGCCCTCTCAGGTCATGGATTATACGGGACTTTTGAAATGTTATCCTCCTGGAGGAAAACTAGAGAAGACCAACATGTTAAAGAGAGAACTGCAGCAGTCTATGAAGACTCCATGCTCTCCTTTTCTCTCACCACTGCCATGTACCTGGTCACCTTTGGCATAGGGGCCAGCCCGTTCACGAACATTGAGGCAGCCAGGATTTTCTGCTGCAATTCCTGTATTGCAATCTTCTTCAACTACCTCTATGTACTCTCGTTTTATGGTTCCAGCCTGGTGTTCACTGGCTACATAGAAAACAATTACCAGCATAGTATCTTCTGTAGAAAAGTCCCAAAGCCTGAGGCATTGCAGGAGAAGCCGGCATGGTACAGGTTTCTTCTGACAGCCAGATTCAGTGAGGACACAACTGAAGGCGAGGAAGCGAACACTTACGAGAGTCACCTATTGGTATGTTTCCTCAAACGCTATTACTGTGACTGGATAACCAACACCTATGTCAAGCCTTTTGTAGTTCTCTTTTACCTTATTTATATTTCCTTTGCCTTAATGGGCTATCTGCAGGTCAGTGAAGGGTCAGACCTTAGTAACATCGTAGCAACTGCGACGCAAACCATTGAGTACACTACTGCCCAGCAAAAGTACTTTAGCAACTACAGTCCTGTGATTGGTTTTTACATATATGAGTCCATAGAATACTGGAACACTAGTGTCCAAGAAGATGTTCTAGAATATACCAAGGGGTTTGTGCGAATATCCTGGTTTGAGAGCTATTTAAATTACCTTCGGAAACTCAATGTATCCACTGGCTTGCCTAAGAAAAACTTCACAGACATGTTAAGAAATTCCTTCCTGAAAGCTCCCCAATTTTCACATTTTCAAGAGGACATCATCTTCTCTAAAAAGTACAATGATGAGGTCGATGTAGTGGCCTCCAGAATGTTTTTGGTGGCCAAGACCATGGAAACGAACAGAGAAGAACTCTATGATCTCTTGGAGACCCTGAGGAGACTTTCTGTCACCTCCAAGGTGAAGTTCATTGTCTTCAATCCATCCTTTGTGTACATGGATCGATATGCCTCCTCTCTGGGAGCCCCCCTGCACAACTCCTACATCAGTGCTTTGTTCCTGCTCTTCTTCTCGGCATTCCTGGTGGCGGATTCTCTGATTAATGTCTGGATCACTCTAACGGTTGTCTCCGTGGAGTTTGGAGTGATAGGTTTCATGACATTGTGGAAAGTAGAACTGGACTGCATTTCTGTGCTATGCTTAATTTATGGAATTAACTATACAATTGACAATTGTGCTCCCCTGTTATCCACATTTGTTCTGGGCAAGGATTTCACAAGAACTAAATGGGTAAAAAATGCCCTGGAAGTGCATGGGGTAGCTATTTTACAGAGTTACCTCTGCTATATTGTTGGTCTATTTCCTCTCGCAGCTGTGCCTTCAAATCTGACCTGTACACTGTTCAGGTGCTTGTTTTTAATAGCATTTGTCACCTTCTTTCACTGCTTTGCCATTTTACCTGTGATACTGACTTTCCTGCCGCCCTCTAAGAAAAAAAGGAAAGAGAAAAAAAATCCTGAAAACCGGGAGGAAATTGAGTGTGTAGAAATGGTGGATATAGATAGTACCCGAGTGGTTGACCAAATTACAACAGTGTGATAGTGTCTGCTTGGTATATTTTCACCCTAGGTCTTATCAAGAGCAAAGAGATTATGTTAATGAAACAATTAAATTCAAAGTTATTCCATATTTTTAAGGATAAGAAACAGGCATTGCAAAAAATGTAAAAGACAAGGGGGGGGGGAATGGGCATGGCATATTTCCCATCTTTAAAACAAAAGGGTTGTTATGAGAAAGAATACAAACACACACACAACACATCCTAGGAGACTTATAGCCTCTTCAACTAAGATCAAATAGAAGAAAGCTTATTAACAAGCAGGATCCTATTTTATCTATACTGCAGATGTTACTGGTATTGTGACAAAACCTACTGATTGAAAGGTCAACTGCCAAAGCAGAAATAGCTTTAAGCATTTTTCAAACAATAAGGCTTTCAGAACTTCTGCAGAGCGGTAGCTCCAGTCAGGGTCTGTGGTTTGATGCCTTAACCGTCTCACCTAGCTCACCAACACCCAAGGATATACTTGTGAAAGTTCTGACCATCAAAAGCAAGCCAGAGCATCAGAAGCAGATGTGGTAGAGTGGCCATCACCCATGGACTGAAATTGAGTCACCCCTAAATTCACCTGGGTGAGGCAGTTTTGTTGTCTGGAGTGAATTTATCATATTCCCCCATTGATATACTTTTAACATTTGTAAAGTTTGGTTAATGTACCTGGAAGCCAATGACAGCTCCAGCATTGCAGAATTGAAATGATTCTATTTTGGAATATCTTGTCACTTGTCACTGAATGGATTTGCTTTATTAGTTACAGCTCTTGGCAAGAGGCTCTGAGAACCCAAAACCACAGAGCCAAACCCAAATACCTGGCATGATGAAGGAAAAGCAGGTGTCTACTTGAACCCAAAGACAGTGTCCCCATTTTAACAAAAATATAGCCAGCTGGTACAGCTGTTTGTGGTTTGGCTCTACATGCATTTTTTGCATGGATGCTCAGAAACAACATCTGCCCGCACGTAGCTGAGGAAGGAAAACTGAACACTGAAATGGTTATTTGCCATAGCTTCCAACTTGTAATGCCACTCTGCCTTTGCTATGACACGTGCCTGCTTAGAGACATAGAGGAGGTTAAAAAAAAAATCTTTGGTAAGACTAAGTCCTGACACTGAGAAACTTTGTAGAAGTGCAGGCAGATAAAGGAATGAAAGACAGATGGAAATGACTGAATAAAGTAATCCCAAATCTATCAATAATGGCAAACTTTCCTGCTAACCTGGCTGCACCTCACCTTCTTCGTCCCCCCACACACCTTTTTTGGTGCCCCTCTACTTCATCGCAAGGCCCTTCTGTACATTAACAAGCCTAGATGTTTATACTGTTGACTTGCAGTATCTACTGGGGAATGGTTCATAGATCTAAACAGAAATGGTTTGATCTGAAGAGGCTGTGTACACTGCCCCAGACTCCTGCATTTCTTTAAATCTGTAAAAATGAAGCTAAAACCTGGTTATGTTTGAGGCAGATGTCTACAATATTTTCCCTTTTAGAGATGTAGCTTATTTAGACATCTATAGTGGTAAGCATTTCCCCAAAGCCTCTTATCTTTCTGGACTTTAGCAGGCATACTGTGTAACTTTCCCATCCTCCACAGAGGAGAAAACTAAGACCTTTGAAAATAAAGCGACTCAACCAGGTCATACCACTAGAGGATTTCCATCATTTAGCATGCCTAAGACAGGGCAGGCCATCTTTAGGTTTTCTCACATGATGGCTATTACTCCCCTCAAAATACATTTATAAGAAAGAAACATAGGACTTTATTGGCCACGGGGAAGGAGTTTTTTTAATGTCTGAGATTAAAATGTTGGGATTTAGGTTTGTCACCGTGTTTCCAAACAGCAAAAAAGCCCAAATGATTCAGACGTAACCACACCAAGTGCAAACCTGTGCTTTCTATTTCATGTACTGTTCTCCACACAGTTCTAAATATATATGCAGGGCATTGTAGCTAGTGCATTACACACTTGTTCAGGCTTCCCTGCAGACACACTAAGCGAACATACCAATGTATTATGCACTCAGCCAGAAGATAATGAGCTTTAATCTGAGGACAAGTACAGTCCTCACAAAAGGGCAAGTTTGCATAATAGATCTTCAATCAATTCTCTCTTCACGGGGCCTGCAACTAGGCTATTATTTATAAAACACAACTGAAGAGGGGATTGGTTTTATTCTTAAATCATATGTTGCTAAATCATTTTCTGAACAGTGTGTTCTAAATCAGCCATTGATTTAGTGTCAGCCACGTGGAGCACCTTGGCTTAAACTGACTCCACAAAACAGACACAATATGCACACCAATTAAATGCATTTTGTTGAGAATATAATCATTCAAGTTGGTCAACCAGAGTGACTTACTATGGAACTTTGTTTTATGAAAGATAGTTTTCCAACTTGACTGAGTTTCTGTATACCTTAGGACATTGTATTTTTAAATGAAGGGCATTTTCAAACTTGTTGACTTCTCTTTTCAGTGCTTGAAATCAAGGCTTATGGAATTCTGACTGTGAAATGAATTTTTTTTATTGGAGGACTATGCATGCCAAGATTTATTACTTATTGTTATATAATTATTATTTATTTGTCAATATTGATTATTGATTATTATTCTGACAGCATTGGTTTAGACCCACCATGGAGAAGCCACTTTAGAAGTAACTCTGAATCACATCCCCATAAAACTTAAGTATTTACTTCATCAAGTTTTACATTGTGAATTGCTATAAAGAGGGAAGGAATGATCCCAGCAAACACTTGAAGAAGTAGTGGGTTTTTTTCTTTCAATTAATTCCAACCAAGACGTTAACATTCACGTTACCAAAGAAACTTATTTGGTTGGTTTTGAGTTGGTGTTTGTTGTTTGTTTACCAAAGAAAATATTACATTGGTCAAAAATATTTCTCCTGGTCAACTAAAAAACTGTGATACTTGGGCTTTCTTGGCCATTCATAAGGAAAATAAGAAAAGTCAGGATAAGGAAAATATTCTCTCATTTAGTGAAACAGCAGAAAATGTAGATTTACAAGGAACTGGGAGTTTGCAAGAAGGAAAATAGGATTTGAAATAGGGCCTTATTGTATAGTCCTAGAGCAATGTCCCAACAAGTAGCAACAGTGCTCCTCAGGATAAAAGAAGTACGGTTTGTTCCTGAGGTAAAATAAGACAAACCCTCATGAAAATTCCTCTCCATGGTTCCAATTCATATTTTGGTCGTGGTTTTTGGTTTCTGTTGTATTTGTTTTGCTTTGGTTTGGTTTGTGTTTTATGTTTGTGTTTGTGTTTGCTCATTTTGCTTCTCCTTTTCCTTCCACTTTTATTCCCTCAGTTTTCAGTCTGAAGTGGGAAAATATGCCATCCTCTATGGCCACAGTTATTTGTGCTCTAAACAAGGCACTTGATAACCTTTTTAACTAACCAACACCCAATTTTAAGTGCTATTCTGGGACCATGCCACCACTTTTCTCCAGCGCCAGCAACAGAACTTGGCTGTGTTCATCACAAGAACAGGTGAGATGGGCAGCTGCCTCGGGGGTGTGGCATTAGGTAGAGCCTCTTGGACTCAAATGGTATCTTCCTCATAATGGATTTATTCCTTTGGATCCTATTAAAGTACCCCTGCAGCTTGTAGTAGTGTTTGGCCTCTGTGTCTCTGTTTTCTCATCTGTAAAATGGGGATAATAACAGTAAATGTCTTCAAATCAGCAAATACTAACTGCCTAATATTTCTAAATACTGAAATATCTAGAGATATTCTAGAGACTAGGAACACAAGCAGTCTCTAGAGACTGGGGATGCAAGCAGTTCTAGAGACTGGGGACACAAGCAGTGAACAAATCAGATTTTAAAAAAGTCTGCCCTCATAAAGCCTACGTTTGAGTGTTGCAGGTTTACTGTGAGGATTGAGATGACATTCAGAAAGCACTCATGTAAAGGCCTGTCAAAGAGAAGAAACTCCAGACATTATTATTTTTAATTTGTTAATCTCACACAGTGGCACTAGGGCTCAGGATGTAAAGCTACAGAGAATAGATTTGGGCAGATTTGGGCCCAAGAATAGGGCTATATAAAGATATGATGAGTTGCCACAGAAGGTAGTTAGTTCCCTGTCATTTTAGGACATTCAAAATTAGGCTGGATCACCACTTAGTGTGGCAATTGTAAAGGGGGTGCAAGCCCTGGATGGTGGGGCTGGACTGTGATCCTTAAAAAATGGGATACAGGCACTTGGGGCTGGGGATGGGGAGAGGACTGCACTGATTATTTAATAACTATGCCTGGTTTGTCTGAAGACACTTGAACATTCCATTTGGGTAATCTGCTTTTAAAAGTTTGTGCTAAATAAAAATCACCAGGTATTTGAAAACATAAAGTTCATATTTTTTAAAGCATGGTAATGCTGCAATAAAAAGGAAAATATTAAGTTAGTACTATACTGGATTTTCTGGCAAAGAACTGAGGATGGCTGCAGCCAACACATTGCAGAGTTCCTCCCTGTGGTGGTTACAACTGTTTATTTCCATTTCATGCCAGTCCAGGAGAAAGCAGAGAGGAAAGTGAATGAGCTAGAATCTGTTCACCTGAATAGGCAGTCAGTCCGCCTCTCACCTGCTCCTGTTCTGTCCAGGTGATCTGTTTGAAGTCCTCTTTGATATCTCTGAGGGCTCCATGTAAGGAAGCGGAAGTGAGGTAACCAATGAGCTATGGCCTCTTGCAAATATTCATGTTAGATTAAAATTGGCACTTCCAGATTAGGAGCCTACCTGATGGAAAAAGAAGGCTTCTTTCCAAAGTAAAGAAAGCAATGTGTACCAAGGAGGTAACCCGCAGAGGAACCTTGGTGGAAGGAGTGGTGTTCCTGTGGAATGTGCCAGCTTCTCCCCAGAATGTTGACACCAGATGAATCTTTGGATAAAATTAAGCCTACCCCCTCATTTTTCACATGAGAAAACTGAAACCTGGAGAAGTGAAATTATATTCACAGAGCTAGTTAGAAGCAGATACAGGACTATAATTGAAGTCTAGTTTCTAGCCTCAGTTCTTTCTCCATTCTGCCACTTTACTGCCAAATTCTATGTATCTAAATTATAGGGTCTTAACCTGGGGGCTGTGATGAGTTGGTGGGAGGGGGGACTATTAGCTCCCTAAAATTAAATCATATGCAAAAATGTGTGTATATGTTCAATATGTGCATTTTCTAAAGAGAGGGTTCATAGTTGTCATCAGATTCCAAAAGAGGTCTGTGACCCAAAAAAGGTGAAGAACCACTGTCCTAAATTAATAAAGACCTCACTGGGAATGTGATCCTGGTGTCCTCATTTTAGCTAATGGGCAATCAAGACTTTCTCAATCATCTGTTCTCCAAGGAGCCAAAAATGCTTCCAAATATTGGTTTCTTTATGCCAAGTAAAGTGCCTACTTCTACTCATTTATTCTTCATTTATTCTTTTATTCATTCATTTGCCTATTCTGAAAACATATTTTCAGTGCCAATTTATATTCCAGAATCAGGTAAGCATGCCCTCCAGGGCAGAACCAGGAAAGGACCCCTCTGCACTGTGCTCTTATTGGCAGTAGTAATACCAGGTTGCCACCACATTCTCACTGTTGCAACAAAGCATATATAGATTCAAAATTACAGTAACCATCCCTCCAACACAAATACACACACAGAGGGAGCAGCCAACAAAGCCAACATATAGAAGCATGCCCTGTCAAAGAACCAGGGGAAGAGCAACCTACTACCAGTTTATAGGTATATGCTGCTTTTCGCCAACATACCACATCCTTGGAAGGGCTACTTTCTTGTGATCCCTACTCTTTGATGTCTACACCAAGCATGCTTGCACGTACTTGCAGCAGCTGACTATTAAACAAACAAGGAGAGAATAAGTCTCATTCATCCTGATAATATTTGTAGTGGGCAAATAAATTATGGCCATGGACAGATGGGTACATTTAAGAACAAGTGTGTCTTGGTCACAGATAGGCGAATATAAGCCTAGTTCTCTTGAGTCCTAATCATAAGTTAGATACAGATTGATGGAGGATGTTGGAGAATAAATGACTCTACTATACCTGTTGGTTCTGCTTCTTCTGGTATGACTTTAGGCACAATAGAATCTACATAGGTTGTTGACCTGAGGGCAAGGCTGGAGAAATCACAGCTTGCCCTTCCCTGAAGCACAAAGGAGGCACTGATGGCGGAGCAGTACCACTTACATCACCCTCTGCCAGCCATGAGAAGGGAAGCCTTTTATTCAGACGGACGAATATTAGTCCCACTTTGTAGCATCTGAAGTGAGTTTTGAGGGCTTTGTACATTGGAATATACAAACTTCTTTGTCTAATTACTAACAAAATGGCAAAGATTCGGCCCATTTCCATTACCCATTCCAGACTCATCCTTAGGATAACCCACAGGATTCTCTTTGGCAAAACAATGTCCTTAATTTTCCTTTGAACATGTTTAGCCTAGCCTTTAAGATATTTATTCTTTAAATTAACATTCTGCCAAAATTCCCTTTGCCTGCTGTCCCAGAATCATCAAGACAGTTGCCATGATGCCTTCAAGGACTATGGATGACTGGACAAAATTGGCAATGACCGACTGGTTCTGCTTTACACGCACATACACACACATACATGTACACACAATAAACACATATGTGCACACATACTCATGAGCTTATATGCACATATATATGCATGTGTGAAAAGCACACCTATAGCACATGTACACATAAACACAGACGCATGCACAGCACAGTAACACATGCATATAGCACATACACATGCATGTACACACACACACACATACACACTGCTTTTTACAATATACCTGACCCACTTTAGCCATGTTAAAATGTTTTGGCAAGCCCAGCCCTGTGGTTCTGTGGAGTTTGGCAGGCCAAGGACTTCAGCTGGTCTGTTCCCCTTCTACATGGTTTCTGTGCATGAGCACATCTGAGAGCAGCCAAACAGTACACATTAAAGAAAAGAAACCTGAGGAAGTGTATGTGCCTTGCAATTTACAAATTGCTAACTAACAGTTTCATAGCAGGAAAACTGTATTTGATGGAATTTTCCAAGTAAGTGAGAGTAGCAGAGACTCAAAACCACAGAGATCTCCCAAGGTCTGGAATTGTGGAAATTTATCTAGAATATTCAGTGATCCAGAGAAGGGGGGAAAGCGGGGGGGAGGAAGGACACATAGGGTGGTCCTTCCATGTTTTTGACTGCTAGTCTGAGGAAGGAGTAGGCATTGATTGGAAAATCAGTGCATTTCATCCACGTGAAAGAAAGAAGGTGCCATGCAGGGAAGCCTGGTGATAGGAAATATCAGTTTAAGGGAAAAGTCATACAAGCAACAGAAGGAACTTACAACTGACTCGCTCTCTCTCTCTCTCTCTCTCTCTCTCTCACACACACACACACACACACACACACACACGCACACACACAGAGATGGGGATTGGACATCAAGAGGAGCCCTAGCACACCTAGCACAGTTCCTAAAAAATTGAGGCATAGAGTATGGCAGGAAAAAAGTAATTACTGGGAAGCTAAAGACAAATCTGTGGTGAATGTCTGAATATTAAAGCTGAGCATAACGGAGTTGTTCAGGATTCTCTGTAAGATATAGAGGCTGAATCTGTACTTTTTTTGAATAAAGTAAAAGGACCCACATTTTCTTTTGAATTACTGACCCAAAATTCCTCCTCAGTAACTTAGAATACACTCAGGTTCTCTTCCTATCATAATTCAACCACCCACCATTTGTTGTGGATTTAATACTCCAGCTTAAAACCCATGAGCAGAATTATTGATGCTAGGCCCAAACAAAGAAAATTTCAGCTTGGTTTTAGTAATTCCTTGTTCAAATTTCTCTCATCCCTCTAAATATGCCAATATTTCAAAGCTGTAAAAATTGTGCCTACATAGCCAATGCATTTAGTTTTGTTTTTGTTTTATTTTTAACATCAGAGATAACCTCTGCTAATACTTAACAGCAAAATAGCACTTTGTGGTAATGGGCATACTGCCAGTATGGATCTGGCCATCACATCCTGGGCATGAGCTGTGACAGTCAGCTTTGTACTCCATGAATATTCATAACTAATTAAAAAACAGTTAAATGTTCCTTTAACAGTCCAACTTTAGTAGGTAGAAAACAAAAGGGAAGAGAATCTATACCTAATGTAGGAAAAGATACTCACCCTAGATATAAAATAGTTTAAATATTAAAATATGGCCCTTCTCTTATTGTCATCGCCAATGAAAGAAATCCCTGAAATTGCATATTATTTTGTAAAGTTCTGGGATACATTTTTAAGTTGCATTCATGGCAATAGATCATAATGCCAAATCTTGACAATCAGAGTAACCACTTCTTCAGTATTCAGAAATCTTATCTATTTCTCTCAAAAGACCCCATGGTTATGTCATGTTCCCCAGTATTATTGTTGGCTTCCTTCACAGTAGACAAATAAGTGCTTCTGGTAATAATAATTTTTAAACTAGGAAAAAAATATCCAAATGCTAGAGCACATAATTATTTCAGCATGGTCAGTTTTGAGACAGTTAAGTATATACTACTGCAAAGAATAAAACAGTCACACCCAGAGTTGGACAA